GAATTCAGTCTGAACAGGACAGTTTGAAATGAACACTCTTCAGATGCTTTCTTCCTCTTCTTTCAACAGTGAACGTAATCGCTTTAACAGTAATATGGGTCTATTTTGGAAGTTTAAGAAAACCTTTGTCTCCAGTTTAGCTCTCAGGTCTCTACAAATTTCCACTTGAAGAAATGGAAAAAGGAGTATTTGGCAGAAAACATGTAAAAGAGGTGCTGTTTGACTCCCTTCTAATCTTACATATTTCATAACTAGTTTTGCATCTTCTTACCAGCAATTTAGAAGATCCAACATAAACTTGGCTGTATGAGTGATACTGAGGTTTCTTTTTAAAAATCTCAGTCAACAATTACTTAAGCACAATAATTTCCATGTTCCACCAGAATACGTCACACCACACGCACTGGACAAGGGGCTCCAGTGAACACCCTTAGGCTGTAACACGAATTACTGCTGGGTGCAGCTTGGTCTTTGAAAGTTTTAAAGCAGAAAGTGCACTACCTCTATGTAGTCACAGTAATCTTTCTCTAACTGTAACTTGTTATTTCTCTACACATTTCAGCAATTTCCAGTGATTAACAAATGGGACAAATCACCTTAAATTTCTTGAAGGAGATCCTCCTTGGTTAGGAAATGGACAAACAGTTCTGGTGTTGGAGAACACCAGCAAGGCCAGGCTGGATGAGGCTTGGAGCAACCTGGTCTAGTGGAAGGTGTCCCTGCCCATGGCAGGGGCTTGGAACTAGATGGGCTTTAAGGTCCCTTCCAACCCAAACCATTCTGTGATTCTACGATAGCTACACAGGAGGTAAACCGAAAAGTCCTGCTATCCCGTCCCGTTGCTGTTCCCGTTCCCCTGCAGGCGGACAGACCTCGCTCAGCGAGTTACAAAGCTCTGGGCTTGTCACGGTGCTGGCAGACAGGCAGCTCTGCTGCAAAGGCCAGTGATGAACTGCCTGTTGAACCCCGTGGAAGCGTTGTGGGAACTGACAGCTCGGGTACTCCGAGGCACTGCAGTCTTTTGTTTCAAAACAACAAGATTTCTCTCAGTTGTAGGGTACTTACAGCCTCATAACAATTACTACTCCACTCTACAATTGACAGACAGCTGATGATTTAGTGTTTTCAGCCTGTGCCCAGCATAGGAATTACTAAAGACACACAAAGGGAAGAGTAACATGGGCCTCATCTCAGAGAATAAAATACAGTCCAAGTGTTTCCACCTATTTCTACCTGTAAATTTTGTGATGCTAACCAACTTACAACACAGAATATATTTTTTCTCGATAACGTAGAGATGCTCACAAAGTACCATTAGTTTAAACAGATATTTGTATTAATTCCACAGCCGTTATTATAAATGAATCCTTAAAGCAGGCTTAGAACTGAAAACAAGTGGAATTATCTTCCTTTTTATCAGGCTGCTTTTAACACTGAAAAAGCTGAAAGTATTCTCTAGTTCTACTGTAGAAATTCTTCTAGAATTAGCTACAGAATTTTTTTTCCTTTTACCAGTCACACCTATTTGCATCCTGATAGGGCAGATCTTAAATACAAGTGCCACGGGCTATTTGTGAACTTAAGACATTTGTGTGCATAAGTGTGCACAGGATCAGAACCTCAGCCGCTCTCTAATTGCACAAGCCAACAAGGTCATATAAAACACGATGAAAAACCCTGGTGATTACCTTTAGGTGCTAAACTACGAATCAGATAATAACCACAAGGGTTACTGCACTCGCCCCGTGAACCTGTGCCAGGTTCTGTTCTCGTGCAGCAACAAACGTCCTGGAAGGGGTGTCCCAGCCCAGAAACGATGGCGGACGCTCCTCCGCGATGCCACCGTAACAGCGCACGCACTCAGCTCTGCTTCCTGTCTGAACGTAACGCTGGGGACTGAGGGTGGCCATAACCTCCACTAAAACCCTCGGGCAGTTTAGCAAAGTACCCCGAAAGTACTGTGGTTCATTCTTCTTTGCCCCTTAAATATGAAAAGGGAAGAAAGTATGGAGTATGAACGCCGGGTGATGCATCATTTATAAATTATCTTGTTAGTGCAGAAAACAAACCACGGCTTTGAAACCAAAATCTCCTGCTGCGGACTCCGCTATGTTTGATGGGAGCCCTTCAAAAGAGTGCATGGCTTAATGGAGGCTGTTTATGTGGGGACTTCGATCTGTACCTGCTGTCCCCTGTCACTCCCTGGAAACTTGGCGGCAGATGTTGCAGCGTTAAGTTGTCTCTGAAGTGGCTCTCTGTCCTCATCTCCCCACCACAACAGAGTCAAACTATATTAGATCTCTTTATTTGTGCCCGAGGCATGTTTGGGAGCGCAGCTGTGTCCACCCCCACTCTACCTTTAGTGTTTCAGCCCCCAGGCAGCGAATGTGAGACCAAAACTGTTCTGCCACTCTTAACTACATCTGCTGACAATCCTGCAGCCTCGCTGCAGGCTGCCGAGGACCTGCGCCTCCGCTCCAAACAGATGTCGGCGACAACCTGCTAGCTCACACCTGTACAAGCCTCCCTAACCTCACGGATTGCTACCTGAAAAATTTATGACTCAAAGGACTCCCATCCGCAATCAAAGCTTCTTGGCTCAACCGCGTGCGGCCCTCAAACCAGGCCACCCTCGGCATTACCTGGCAACGTGGCAGAGGTGGGAGAGGAGAGAGAGAAGGAAGAAAAAGCTCACTCTGCTTTGATACTTCAGGCCTAAATTTCAATTACTTGATCAAGGACTTGAATTCAGCGGTGAATTCTTCTACAAATGGGAACTGCCAAGTTCTTAAACAATTCAAAATGAAGAAAACAAAACAACTGTGTGGCTGCTGTTTACCTGAAAAGGGTTTCCGACGAAAGCGTGTGCGTACGCGTCTCGCCGTACGTACGCACGACTGCTCATCCGTTCACTGACTGAAACCCCGGGGGGCACAGCACGGAATCTCTACCTAGCAAGTTATGAACAAGTAACAAGAGTTCATTTCTCCTTCCCTAAGATACAGAATACCATGCCAGACAGACACTGCACTCCAACAGTGTCACAGGCCACACCTTACTGACCGCTGCTTTAGGTTTGATTCACCAATACACATGTACCACTGTTTTCAGTGGGGGTACTGGAGATGAGCGAGCTACTTCTCTGTTTTTCATAACCCAAGATGTTGGTCGACATCTTCCTACCATGTCAAGACACAGTGCATGCCTGACCACAACTGCTCAGCAAAGCTTTCCCTGGCAGGCAATTTTTCCAGTAACTACCTGTCTTTATGGTCAGAAATCCTTAAAACAGGATTTTACCTTTTTTTTTCCTGATTTACCCTGTTCAGGAACCTTTTCTTCTGCATTCCTATTTGTATTGCATTTGGAATCATAGAACGGTTTGGGTTGGAAGGGACCTAAAAGATCATTTAGTTCCAACCCCCTGCCATGGGCAGGGACACCTTCCACTAGACCAGGTTGCTCCAAGCCTCATCCAGCCTGGCCTTGGACACTCCCAGGGATGGGGCATCCACAGCTTCTCTGGGCAACCTGTCCCAGTGCCTCCCCACCCTCTCCAGGAAGAACATCTTCCTGATATCTAATCTAAACCTCCCTACTTGCAATTTAAACCCGTTACCCCTTGTCCTGTCACTACAGGCCCTTGTAAAAAGTCCCCCCCAGCGTCCTTGTAGCCCCTTCAGGTACTGGAAGGTGCAATAAGGTCTCCCCGGAGCCTTCTCTTCTCCAGGCTGAACAAGCCCAACTCTCTCAGCCTGTCCCCATAGCAGAGGGGCTCCAGCCCTCTGAGCATCTTCGTGGTCTCCTCTGGACTCGCTCCAACCGGTCTATATCCTTCTGATGCTGAGGGCTCCATAGCTGGACGCAGCACTCCAGGTGGGGTCTCACCAGAGCAGAGTACAGGGGCAGAATCCCCTCCCTCGACCTGCTGGCCACACTTCTCCTGATACAGCCCAGGATACGGTTGGCTTTCTGGGCTGCCAGCGCACATGGCCGGCTCGTGTTCAGCTTTTCATCCACCAGTGAAACCACACTGCATTGTAGCAGCAGTCTGTCATTCTGCTTCTTCCAACACTTGTCTTAATGCAAGCTCACCTTTTCTTCCGTTAGAACAGTACTAAACTTCATCCCAGGAAAAGAATCTGAATACCGATTACCTCTCATCCTCTCAAAGGTACCTCCCTCCCTTTAGCCCCCCCAACTCTTTCCTGCCATCTTTATGGTGTATGTTGCACAGGGTCCTCGCACACTACTGCTTTGTGGTGTGAGAGAACCTGATCTGTCACGGCCACCCGGCGCCACTCTGTTGAGGCCAAAGTTGCTGTCTCATTTAGAGGAGATCATCTGCTCTGTGTCTCTTCCCATGTGCCACAAACAGGAAGCTCAGTGGTCTCAGTAGGTCAGAAATTCCTTATCAATTGCAGAGATAAATGCTAAGATTTAAAGTAATATGGAATAATAACCCAAAATACACAATCTGGCTTCACTATAAGAGGTTCAGATAACAACTCTACTCCCCGGTCACAGCAGTCTTTGTAGTGGAGGCACTTTTCCATGAGTGTACTAGAAGAAAGGATTATCTGAGAAAGAAGTTTCCTCACCCTTTTTTTTGGCATGGAGGTTGCCTTTGGCGTGGAGGGCAAAGCTACGTGAAGCAACTTGCATGAAATTTATTGGTGATGACTTAAATGTGATGTGTTTTTAGTATTTTGATTGCCGGGCTCTACTCTTAGGAACAGCTGGTTGTAAGAAGGTTTGGGTGTTCGCTGCAGAGAGTTTACACTCCATGAAGTGTGTGCCATGTTTTTGCTCCCCAGCTAAACACACAGAATAGGGAATCCTTCACTCTGATTTCAGGAGATTGGTGTTTCTGCAACGTTCCTGGGCTGGCACAAGGCATCTTTCGATGCACTTTGTTTCTCCAACACATAATTTTTCTTGTTGTGTCATTCTTTTGGCTGCAGTGCTTTCTTTAGTCGAGGCCAGGGCACTACCAGCGTTCAGCGGCCGGGGACGCACAGCCTGCCCGTAACACCCCCCTCTTTTGCCGACCGTAGCGGATGCACGCGCCACACACCAACCTCATCTCCTTGCTGCGGTCGCATCAGAGAGACTCTGTCGTACTGTCTTCGTAACAGCGCCCACAGTGCATCGAGTCGACCCTGTGGCAACAAGAGCAACAGGACTTTCAGCACAATAACATCAGCTGGCGGAAAGCACCCCACACCTGCCAAGTTACTCCAAGGGGATCGGTGGAGAAATCTCCTGGCAGAACTGAGCACCCGTTCCTCAGAGCCGGATAAGCCAAGTGTAAACCGAGGCTGTCACCCACGGCACGCAGCTGTGGTGCTGCCCGTTGCCATCCGTGAATGCTGGGGACTGCGCTCTCACCTCACGAGCGGGGTGGCTGTGACCTAACCCACGTGCGCCGCCGAGTGATCCAGAAGCACCCTGTTTATTTGCCAGCATTTTGGGCTGAACTGCCACACGTTCATCTGGGATTTCTCCCACGTAAGCCTATTTGGTTTTACAGCATGTATACAGCAAGCGCATCGTTCTCAGCGAGCCTCGGGCCTGCTAGGCACGTGGTAAACAGCCGATTCACGCTGCAACCTAGTATACCAGCCACAACCTGTGTAATTTTAGGCTTAATTAGATATACAGTGAGATAGACCAAATGCCGATAAAGCTCCTATAGAGTTTATTAGTCTTACTGTATAGATTGTCCCTTTTGGGGGGAAGGATAATGGACTGTGGCAGTAATGATGAACTACTGCGATTAGGCTAAAAACTGCTCCTGCTATTCATCCTGAGTAGGTGTTCACCTTGAGAATAGGACATGACACTTGAATGGGAATACTCCAAATTCAGTAACGTGCAGTTCAGCACGCAGACTGGTAAAGGAGACAAAATGCGCAAAATCATATTGTACTGAAAACTGAAAAGGTTACCTTAATGGGCGTGTACCACTTCTCCTGAATGGCTGGTGAGGTAGGCTTTGGTTTAGGTGGTTTGGGGTGAAAAGGTTCTTCTGGTTCTTCTGGGAGTTTCACCACAGCATTTTTTGCTTTTTCTAATCTGGCCCCTTCTTCAGTGGATCCTTTATCACCCCAGCGAACCTAAGGAAAGCCAGAGTTGAGATGTCAGTGTGCTGTATCCAACAGACAAGGGAACTTCCAAATAACAGAAGTAGCTGAAAAAGCTGAAACTTGGAAGAAGTTCTGAATAAACAAGAGGGGAAGTACTGAGGAAAATGTTCCCTCTTCGTTTTTGATGACAAGCACTCCTAGTTAAATACATTTACAAATACAATACAATACATTTACAGTCTCAGTAGCAGTAAGTCCAGAGAAATACTGGAAGAAAGTTCTACCATGCATCGCACAGGCTATAGAGGAGACAGGAAATCTGGGAAATCTCCTCTTTAAAAACATCATTTTCAGTTCTGATTTATCTTAAAATACCAGATTTTAATCTGGCACTGACGAAAGCCTTGATTTTTGTCAACCCCACATTTCCTAACACAGCGTCTTTGTTGAGAACCCCAACTTAAATAGAGGCAATCCTCGAGCAAGTTTTAGCAAAGTTTTCAAGCAGTTCTGCAAGAAGGTACACAGTGGAGAAAGCGCAGAGGAAGCAGTCTAACCTGCTTAATAAGTAAACGTAAAACATGTAGTGTTGTATAGTGTATCACTGCTGCAAGTGTATGAAATATATACGAAGGGTTCAGAGAGAAAGGAAACCTGGATTATTGCTGTTGGTTGTTATTTCCACCTAAAAGGTTGTACTTCCCATGCTGTAGAGAGGAAATACAGAAAAACACCCTCCCCTCTACAAAAGATGATTTCTCTTGCTGCAGTTATCTTACTCCACCTTGTAAGTGGAAACAGCGTGCAGCAGTTTGGGCAAGGAAGTTTTCTGTACTGATGGTACAAAGAAACAAACCTAGACAAGGCCGTGACTTTATCACCCAAAAAGGGCATCTAAAAGCTATGGCTGCAGTGTGAAAGTTCTTAGCGAAACTGGACTGGATTATTTGCAGTGCAAGACTTCCTAAACCGTGCCATCTGCTACAAGGCAGCCCGTAAGGAGACCCTGAGGCACCTGAACCCAGGAAATTAAACCCTGACGTCACACCTTGGGTAAATGTGACAGGCTGACGAGTCACGGATCCTACAGGACAACAGCTAACCCTGACTGCAGGACTCCACCAACATACTTGGTTTCTTCAGGGGCCTCCTGACTGGAGATGCTGGGCGTGAGAAGAGAAGAATCCAATAAGAATAATCAGAGAAGACTGACCTTCCACCCTGAGGGGAAGAATCAAGAGCGTCACTGCACACTGGTACATATGTGTCAGTTCTCTCTTCCCACCTGCCAGTTCAAGCGCTTGAAAAGCGGGAAAACGACTCTCCCACTGGAAAGGGACCCAAGTTGTTCTGCTCACTAGGAAAAAGACATGCCCCTGGTCTTCCTTCTGCTACCTGGAGCGAGGGAGAAGGCTGCTCCAGACCTTGCTAGGGACACTGCGATGTGCCAGGATAACTCTGCCATAGGATGCGAAAGCAGCCTGACGTGAGGCCTGACAAAATACGTAGACAGGCCAGAGTCTAGCCCCCTTTGGAAAAATGAAATGCCTTGGAGGAAAATCTTGTCATTTTATCACCACCACCAAGTGTTTTTACTGCCGTAATCTCAACGTGGAGAGTGAGAGCAGCGAAGTACGACAGAGCTTAATTGGCTCTGTAACGCTGTAACTCACCTTGGTACAACACAGGCCATCCTCTCTTAGGAGGGGATTGTTTTGAACCTTTCTGTTATTGTGAACTTTGCTGTTTGGCTTGCTTAGTGATTTCTTTTTCTCGCTGGGGAATCCTCTCTCTGCAATATTAGGACGGGCTTTCATGTCCAAGTAGGCCCTGCTGAGTCATTAAAATGCATCTGTATCTTTCACTGTGATCAATGGTACTTTTACGGTGGTTTTTATGAGGTTGTTAAAATGTATTTTAAACACTGTTAAAGCCATTTAGAGATAGATGGTGGATTCCTTACTGATAAAATGACCTTCTCCTTCAGTTTAAAGCAACTTCATGCAGAATAAACCAGAATTTGTGGAGTCTGACAACACAACCTTGACATAAAAAACTTACTGCCTGTTAACGGGTGGGGTCTAGAAATGACATCACGGAACTTCAAGGCAGTGCGGAAAGATCTAGGAAGAGTGAAAAACCCTGGCTAAAGTATTCTGGACTGGCAGAGAGGGGTGAAGCTAGTGGGGCAGGTAAATGACATCACAGAACTTCAAGGCAATGCCGAAAGATCTAGGAAGAGTGAAAAACACTGGCTAAAGTATTCTGGACTGGCGGAGAGGGGTGAAGCTAGTGGGGCAGGCAGAGCGAATGTGTATGCCCCAAAAGGGAATATAGTAAGCCAAGAGAAGTAGGACAGAACGATAAGTAAAAGTTTGGTGGTTCATTCTCTCCTTTATGCAGGAGAATGAACCTGCATAAAGAAGAACAGAGCACAGAGCAGTAAAAGACAGACAACTGCATTGCCACAAGAACTGAAAACGGAAGAAATACAATGACTACTCCAGCAAACTTTTCATTGGCCACAGCACAGAAACCACAGTTAACCGTCAGGGAAGGCATAACCTCCCCGACCTCACCTCATCATCTTGTTAGGCTGGTTTGGTTCTCTCGCGCTTCCACACCTGCTCTACCCTGACTCACCCAACAAGCACCGTGCTCTCTTGAGGCAGCCAAAGGTGTGAGGTCTGGTATCACCCTGTCCCAACAGCTGGGAATAGGCTGCTAAGCCAGTGTTTCCCTCAGCCCCTGTCAGAGATACGGCAGGACAGCGGTAAAGCTCCACATTCAAAGGCTGAGGCATGTACGATGCGGCGCCCAACCCCAGAATTTGTTAGTCTTCTCAGGTCCCAGAGAAGGACAGAGACACAGCTCCACAGAATAAGGCACCTTTCAAGAGCCCACGATTGAATTGTCAGCAATTTCAGCTGGTTTACATCTTTAGCCTTTAGTCCTGCACAAAATTCCTAGCACGGATGAAAACGTTTTCTAACCTAATCATTGCTTTCTGCTCTCTTCTTTGAAGAACAAATACTGTAGGTTTCTGGCATGTGATGAATATGCACTTCTTTATGGTACTTGTGTTATTTGTGTTCATGAGGGATCTGTGGGGTTTCTGTTTCACTGGGCAAGATCCCATTTACAAACTGTCACGATTTAAACCCTGGAACCCCTCCTGGAAGCTCATCATGGCTCCCGTTAGAAATCCAGGCTTGTAATTCTTTGCGCTGGAAAGTATTTTCTAGTTGGCCTCTGAAAAGCACTGCAGAAAATGTTTTCTTTTCCTAAAATCTGAAGCTCTTGTAAATTAGCAATTCTGAAATGCTGAAGGAAGCGCAGATAAGCGAGACAGTTTTAAACTTAACATGTTCTTCTGCCTCCTTTAAAAAGAACTCAGGCAAAGCCGATTCTTAGGCCAATACTTTAAAGTTTCATCAAGACACATCAATATGGCCTAGGTGGGTATTTCAGACAGAGCCAGTTTTCTAGACTGAAGTTAAAAACTGCAGAAAACGGCTTTGCGAATTCCATAAAGGCTGAGTTGACTATAAAATCTGACATAAGGACGTGCCCATAAGGATGCACATTTTTCATTCTGTTTTAATTAACATGATGCTATCATGTCTCTTCAAAGACAGGCACTGTTGTCGCTGTGAGTTCCTTTGGGATCAAGCCTCTCCTTAGCGTCACCATTGTCAGCGCATTTGGCTGGCCCACAGTTGGAGGACTTATGCTTCACTGTAATTTCTTCCAAAACATTCAGAAAAGGCTCTGACTCTCTCTTTCTTATTAGCTCGGTGGAAAGAGCATGTCTTCAGGCAGCGATTTAAACTACCAGTCAAATGGAACTACTGAAAGCTGTTCTTTCATAGGCAAGGTCAAAATTGTTCAATACAGTAAATCTTAGGAGGCTTATGTCACTGGGAAGGAAGCACACATTATGCCCTTGTATTTCCAGAACACTTTAAAGTCCTTGTTTCTACCATTTCCAGCCTCAGAGAGCTTGTGTTTCAGTGAACTGCCATCTCCGTATCCTACAAACCTCCATCCTTTTAATTCCTCCAACTCCTCGTCCACCGTAGTAGGAAGCATCCACTGTGGGCCACTTCTTGGTAGGCAAGGGCTCTTGTTCTTCTTCCTGTCAATAAATCCAAATAATATCTCCTGATAAAAGATCCTTTTGTCCCCTCCCACTAAGTATCTTTTTAGTACAGTTCACTAGAGTTCACACAGACTCCGTTTTCCCATGTTAGGTGTGAAAGATCAGAGATTTAGGTTCCCCAAGTATCTGCCAATTTCCAAACAAAATCTGATCATTTTGGGAAATACTTTCAAGGTTTTGCATGGGAAAAGCATTGGTGGCGACCATCAGGAGAGTCCAAATGGGGAACTGAGTGTGTATTCTACTGACAATCATTCGTTTGCCTCATCCTTTTGCTTTTCACTAATAAAAATAAGCAAAACGCACACGAAGACTTGCAGTGGCTTCTTCTACGGAAAACATAATGCCTTCCAAGAGCCAGATCCTCAGCCCTACTCATTTGGATTCAGGAGACAGCGTTGCGCAGATCTGCAGATAAAGGTTACGCAGCCGATCACAGTTTCCTAAGCCAACCTTTGTCAAACGCGCTCCCGGCTGCCGTAGCTCAAAGTGTGCCTTATCACGGGCTGACTGTCAGAGCGCGCTTGAGCACGCGCAAGCGACGGGCTACATCCAGACCGAGGGGCAAAAATACTGAAGGCACCAGAAGATCCTTTAGTGTATTACTGTCCATAAAAGGGAGAGAAGTTCCCTTCTAAGGGCTCTTCAGCGTCTGGAATGCCAAAGGGGTGGGAAAATACTGTTTAAGTCATACATCAATCTTTGGACTGTTATACAAGAGCTACTCAGTCTTCTGCTCTGCGGAATGGGAAGAATAACGTTCAACTCTCTGGGGATAAAGCCCCTAAGTATTTTTGGGGATTTGGGCTTAATTCATGCCACACTGAGATGACTGAGACAGAACAGAGATTTGGACTTGGGCCATCCCAGCCTCAGCTTAAGGCGTCCCACGGGGCAGTGCTTTCTTCTTCAGCAGCTAGGACAAAGGGCCGGATTCGCAGAACACAGGAACGCACAAAGCAGTGGTATCGTGTAACCAGCGTGACGAGCGGAGCACCGTCGTAACATACCTCTTTTGGAGCTGGCGGAGGTGGAGGGGGATCTTTGATGACCTGAAAGAGCCAAACATATAAAAGGATAAGGAATTGCACTGGCAGCATCTAAAAACCAACAGAAAATTTTAAGAGTGAACTGTCTCCACCCCACATCTGCTTGCAAACTGGCGACCGCTGCTGCCAAGTCCCCTGGGTATTGATTATCAAGGCCTTCTGGAAATTAACACCATCCGTCTAATAGAAAATAACATCAATTGACTGGCAGACACTCTTTGGGCAGACGTGTCTGCCACTTTGCTTCCTGACCGGATAAGACTCAGTCATTCTAAGTAATAGCCAGTGATGAAACCCTATGGAATTAATTAGCAAGCCTGGGAGGAAAAGGATCCCAAGGTCTATGTGAGGTCTTGCATAATCTTGGGCCAAGATGCCTGCTTCCTTGTGCCATGCTGCTGGATAATTTCTGGCCTGATGACAAGTGTGAAATGCCTTCTGGTAGCGCAGGCTTCACCTCTACAGACGTCCGGATGGTTTCCGCGGATCTCACGTTTCAGACCTAATAATTTGAGTACATAACTCCTTGACTGTTCCGTGTGTTCTGCCTGCGCGCGGGAGGTACATTCACAAGGCTTCTTGAACTGTTTCTGGATAAGGCTTGCTCTTAGGATAATTCACCTACACCTACATTTAAACCTCTACCTACACTTTCTTCCTCTTCCCTTTCTCACATCCATGTGGTAAATCTCAGGGAGTTCTCCAGTACTGACAGGAATCCACTGAACAGCACAGGGAGAGGGAGGGGAAGACAGCGACCCTCTTAAATGGTTAAGATGAAAACTGAACACACAGGTGTTCTTCCTCAGGAAAAACAGGTTTCGAAGCTAAAAAGGAGTCAGTGATATCAATTCATTTTTTTGTGCTTGAATATTTTATAGCAATGACTAAAAAATAGCCCATGAATATCCAGGGGTGTGTTTCTGCTGTGCCTTAGTATTATAAAAACGTAACCAAAACTGTCCATGATGACAAACACCTAAATCTCCAGTACAGGATTAAATATCTTAATTGAAACGTCTTCTTTTATTCAGTCTGTGCTATTAATTACAGAACTGTCGTTTACCCTACCACTGCCTATAAATAATGTCACTGCACAAACATGCCTCATACATAAAGAAACATATTTTTCTTGACCAATAATCCAGGGGTTTCCTTCTACATTTACATTTCAAGTCACAGTGCCACCAAGGTAGTTACTAATTACTGACTAAACAAGCTATGGACTTTTAGCATTGGATACATGTATCCAGTAAGGGAATGGACATGTGGAAACATTCTTCCACAGTGCTTCAGGTTTAAGATAATTAATTGTTCATCAAGCAAGGTCAGAGTACTTTTGAGTGAATTGGATGTCAGCTATAGATTTTAACCAGACATCCCTTAGCATGTCACAAAAACGTGCCAGAAATTACTTTTCTTTAAACATTTCTGAATGGTCTTTCTTCCCACCCATCAGGAATTTTCAGGATACTTAACAGAAATCAGTTATTTAATTAATGAAACACTCCTGAGAGCCAGATCGGAATTACCACCGTAACGTTACAAGAAAGAACACTACAGGGGGATCATGGGACAGATTCTGAGAGATACTTGGATGCTGAGCAACACTTTCCAAAGCATGGCGATATTTAATTTTGCCCAGAGAAGCTGTGGATGCCCCATCCCTGGAAGTGTTCAAGGCCAGGCTGGACGAGGCTTGGAGCAACCTGCTCTAGTGGAAGGTGTCCCTGCCCATGGCAGGGGGGTTGGAACTAGATGGGCTTTAAAGTCCCTTCCAACCCCAACCATTCTGTGATTCTAGGATTCTATAATTCTCACTGAAAGCAATTAAAAGACTGGAAAGGGTAAAACAGTACATTCAATATATTAAGGGTCACCTTATCGTATTTCATTCCCATTCCTATTTCCCTTTTGCCTGTCTCTAACGATTATCTCAAAAAACTGTATTTCGCTGCCAAGACTGCAAGCTGTACAGGGGGAAAGGCCTAGCTAGGTTGCAGATTTACAGAAATACAAATTAAACGGCATTATCACTCCACTTCCTATAGTTCTGCAAGTCTCACGGTATCTCCCAAGCAAACCCGATTTTGCACAGTGAACTTCTTAGCTGAAGTTCGCTTGGGCCCTACGTTTATTGATATTTACAGAATCAAAATTTCTCCCCCAGTGAATAAAAAAAAAAATCTACTTGTTGACCTCACTGGGCTTCAAAAGTGACGAGTCAATAGCAGTTTCTGTTTGACTCCCTGGGCAGAGGACCTAATCCTATGCCAGCTGCTAAACTCCCTGAAGTTACAGGGTAAACTTGATTTGAAGCTAACCAATACGTTAATTAGCTGCTATCTGTAATAGCTTCAGAAAACGAAACTTGTTTTAAAAGTGACAGTGGTGTGAGAAAATAATCTGCTTTGAGTAGCAGATACTCACCCCTGCTGACAGAAGTGGAATGTAAATGCCTGCATCCTTATGTTTCCACAGGCTCCTCACACACTCTCTCTCGCACACACGTGCACACACACAGATTATTTTCAGTCTTGTGTGATATTTCAAGTGAAACCAGCAGAAAGCCAGTTTTTAAAAAAGAGAAATCCGAGAAACCCATGCAGCTCTGGCAGAAAACGGTGCAAGAGTAGCATGAAGCTGCACATACTGAGGATGGTAATATTGCAAATTAACTTTGCCAGAACTTGATTCAGATTGTTTCAATACAAAAGACTCTGAATAATGCTCCTGTCTTATTAACCCTATGAAGGGATGGATTACTTTCTCGTTTTGTTTTGTTTTGTTTCACTAGAATCACCAGGCAAGGCTGCATCTCACTCGTTTGGTTGCGAAGAATGAAGACTTGCGTTTGGAGAAGAGCCGATTTCTTTAAAAAAAAAAAAAGTTAGTTGCTTGAGGCAACAGTCCCTTTGATCTGCTCATTAACACTTCTCAAATGTTCGCGTGATGTGGGCATTAGGAAATGTCAGCACCAGAGCCTGCAGCCAGCTTGATGCGATCATATGTTCAGATATTGAGGGAAGAGTGAAAGAACTGTCAGCAGTGAACTGCCTTCAAAAGAAGGGGCGGGGGGAGAAAGAGAAAAAGGAGTCCACCTACCCCAACCTGTAAGGGAACATGGAGCTCACAGCAAGGAACAGTGTCAAGAGGAGTCCTAGCAAGGAGGAATCGGAGTGCCTGAGCCCCCTGAAGATCACCAGTCTGCCTGCGGCTGTAGGGATTACAAACTGGGATTACAGGTGGGGATTACAGGCTTGTGTGGCTTTGGATGCTCATTCTGCCCTGTCCCCAACACCCTCTGCCTCTCTCTTCCCTTCGATTCTGAAGCATGGGATGCTTACAAGATTTGAGGGCTGCTGCTTTCTTCCTTCCTCCTGTTCTTTGTCCCATGAAACCAGATTCACAGATTCACAGAGTGGAAGGGGTTGGATGGGACTTCCAGAGATCATCAAGTCTAACCCCCCGCCAGAGCAGGA